CCGCTCGGGCGATGACCACCAAAAAAACCGTCGTTATTTTAAAATCCTTTATATTAAGTTCACTTGCTTGCTTGCTTGCGTGCATGCTTGCTTGCTTACGACCGTGCAAATCTTTCGGTCGTTTTTTAACCCACTTCCCGTGATACAATCGAGCTGACATTTTCCACACAGACTCGTTGTGCCAGACAATTAATGTTCGTGAAAAAAAATTCCCAAAATTTTACACTTTTTAGACAAAAAAAATGTATTTTACATATATTCAAATATAACTCATTCATGGCTTTGGCTGAACGTCAGAGTGTAAGAGCCCAGAGCGTAACCCCTCCACAGGCCGTGGCGGAGTAGCTCAGTTGGTAGCGCCCTCGCTTCCCATGCCAAAGGTCGCGGGATCGATCCCCGCGTCCTCCACAAGCGAATATATTTTTTAATCCTTTATATTAAGTTCGCTTGCTTGCTTAGGACCGTGCAAATCTTTCGCTCGTTTTTTAACCCACTTCCCGTGATCCAATCGAGCTGACATTTTCCACAGACTCGTTGTGTGTGACAATTAATTTTCGTGGAAAAAAAATCAAAAATTTTACAATGTTTAGGGAAAACAAATTAAATATTTAATTACCAATTGCTTAATACTGGCAGACAATCATCTGACCCATAGGTGGCAGCCATCTCAAGCCAGAGGATGAGAGGACTCTAGCCGCCACGCATATAAAGGATTTATAGTGAAAAACTTTGTTTTTACGGGTTAATTTTTTGTGGTTTTGTTTTGCAGGCGGCGATAGAGTTGCGCGATGTGTGTGTGAGTGTGCGTGAGTGTGTGTGTGTGAGTGTGTGTGAGTGTGTGTGAGTGTGCGCGATGTGTGTGTGAGTGTGCGTGAGAGTGTGTGAGTGTGCGTGAGTGTGCGTGAGTGTGTGTGAGTGTGCATGAGTGTGCGTGAGTGTGTGTGTATGTGAGAGTGTGTAGTGTGTGAGTGTGCGTGAGTGTGTGTGAGTGTGCGTGAGTGTGTGTGAGTGTGCGTGAGTGTGCGTGAGTGTGTGTGAGTGTGTGTGAGTGTGTGTGTGTGTGCGTGATGTGTGTGAGTGTGCGTGAGTGTGCGTGATGTGTGTGAGTGTGCGTGAGTGTGCGTGAGTGTGTGTGAGTGTGCGTGAGTGTGTGTGAGTGTGTGAGTGTGTGTGAGTTGTGTGAGTGTGCGTGAGTGTGCGTGAGTGAGTGTGAGTGAGTGTGCGTGAGTGTGTGTGAGTGTGTGTGAGTGTGCGTGAGTGTGTGTGTGAGTGTGCGTGAGTGTGTGTGAGTGTGCGTGAGTGTGCGTGAGTGTGCGTGAGTGTGTGTGTGAGTGTGCGTGAGTGTGTGTGAGAGTGCGTGAGTGTGTGTGAATGTGTGTGAGTGTGTGTGTGTGCGACTGATCGCTCTGGGCGTGGACCCGGCTAATAGCAGGTCGGCACAATGGCACGTTGCTAGTCGAATTTTCCGGTGGAGTTATTTTGTAACAGTCTTCATTTGGCCTTCACGGCTATTGGACGTAATTAGTGGCGAGCAAGCACGTTTAAACAAAATAAAAAAAAACACACTCAACACAGCTGTCACGACAAATTACGTGGGTGGCCTTAAAAGAAAGAAAAAAAAACAACCCGTATATCATATACTCTTTGGTTCTTTCGGTAAAGTCACGTAGGTAGAAAAAAAATAATAGATCACGACGTTTCGATCGCAACACAAGCAATCGTCATCAGGTGGTTAGCGCACTGCACTACGAACCGTGCGACCCAAGATCGAGTCCCACTCACGAGGAGCAACATCAGTGGCGAATATTTGAACCGGTTCTGGGCCTCTCCGAGGTCGACTCAGCCTTAATGGGGAGACAAAGGCGGCCGGGCGTGGCGTAGACTCACCCACCCCTTCGTGTGCTGTGCCGGCCTTCATAGGTGCCACGCGCTAAACAGCACTTACCCCAACGTTCTGTTAAAGGCTATACGGGGGATCTTTGTATTTGTGGCCACGAATGCGCGCGTGTGTGTAAACAGCACGCACTCAATTGATTATGCACGTCGTTGTAATTTCTCTTTTCTTTAAATATTACGAATCAACACGCGTTTGCATTGAGTGAATTAATCTCGGCAAGGAATGCACGGGCACCCGCAATCATCCGCAATCCCCAAGTCAGGACACGGACAACGTCTGTGACGTCCCTTGTGAAGTTGAAATCTGCGCGTTCGTTTTCATTGGCTGAGCACTGCACCCAATTACTCACCAAAGCGGCCAGCAACAATTAGCACTCCTTAAGGTTGCAACGATAGGAGTTGATGCGTTCTTGACTTGAGCAAGGTTGTTGTTATTGTTGTTGTGAGATCGCAGAAGAGATGACTGAGATGGAATTCTAACGTGGAGAGAGAGAAACGCAGAGAGAGAGATAAGTGTTGTGCCCTGCAGTGTGGTGGCGTGGGTGGGGTGACTGTGGGTAGTAGGGGGTGAGCGAGTGAGTTAATATGCGAGCGAGTGCGTGAGTGTATTATTGTGTTGGGGAGCGGTAGTGTAGCAGTTAGCGCGCTGCGCTATAAACCCCCGGCATCCCAAGTTCGATTCCCGCTAACGGCCAACGCCTGTGACGATTATCTGAATCGGTCCTGGGGCCTCCCCAGGTCGACTCAGCTTCAAATGACTACCTGGTGCAGTGGTAAAACCGTCGCCACTAGAGAGACAAAGGCGGTCGGGCGTGGTGCTGACCACCCACCCCCTCGTGTGCCGTGCCGGCCTTCGTATGTGCTCGCTAACAGCACTTGCCCCAACCGTCTGTTAAGGCTATACGGGGATCTTTGTCTTTGTTTCAGTGTGTTGTTGTGACCTGCAGGTGTGGCGAGTGAGTGAATGTGTGAGTATGTGGGTGAGTTAAGTGTGTGAGTGAGTGAATGTGTGAGTAGGTGGGCGAGTGAGTTTAATATGCGTGTGTGAGTGAATGAATGTGTGAGTAGGTGGGTGAATAAGTGAATGTGTGAGTAGTTGGGTGAGTGAATGTGTGAGTAGGTGGGTGAGTGAGTGAATGTGTGAGTAGGTGGGTGAGTGAGTTAATGTGCGTGTGTGAGTGGATTTGTGATTTGGTTGGGTTAGTTGAGTGAGTAGGTGGGTGAGTGTGTGAGTGGAGTATGTGGGTGTAGTGAATGTGCGTGTGTGTGAGTGAGTGTGTCAGTGTGCTGCTGTGACCTGCAGTGTCGAGGTTGGACACAGTAATAGATGAGATGGAAGAATCCTTATCCCGACGAACACACCGTGGGTCGAGCAATCAAGCAGTGAAGTTCACGGGAAGATTAGCCGTGGTAGTAGCAGCAGCAGCGATAGAAAGAGTGACACGAAGCTGAATGGCTGTGGGTGAGCGAGTGACTGGAGCGAGTCGGTGAGCGCTGGATCATCAATCAACGGGCGATGGCTTTACATAATTAACGGCGCACAGGATCAGAATTAACGTATCACATTTGGCATTTTCAAAGTAGGATAATCCGAGTATGAGATTACTTTAATTTAATTAAGTTTAATCATTTACCCCCCCCCCCAACCCCACGGGGTGCTGAAGCGTACTTCTTGCATCCTGGTGAGTTCGGCTTGGTGAAGGCGATCGGTGTGGGGGAGGGGGGTAGTGGAGGGGGTGGCGGCTAGGACCAATTTAGTTTAACACGTGCAGGCTTTCGCGACCAATATTATTCATATCAACGTTTTTGGGTTAGATCGCGTTATTTATAAATGTGTCGTAACCCTCCACCACCCGACACGACCATCAGTAAAAAAAAAGTGTCACGTTGACAAAGACAAAAAGTTCACCGACTTTAGCCTACCGGTGGAGGGTTACGACACATTTGTAAACAACGCGATCTAACCCAAGAACGTTTATTATGAATTATTATGAGGACCGATTGAGTTGTCACCCTCCCAGCCACTCACGATGGCCATGGTCAGGGATCGAACTCAACTGGGTGGGTTTGGAGCGCGATGTGCTCACCTCGCTCCAGCCGCAGATTTGCCCGGACACCTTGGTCACATAGAGGCTACGTGCTGCCCTGCAAGCGCTCGATCGCAACACTGCTGGCAGAAGGGCCTCCTCGAAAAACACCCTCTCTCTCTCTCGCTCAGACACAACAACAGTGGACACAACAACAATAGACACAACAATGGACACAACAACAGTTCACACAACAATGGACACAACAACAGTTGACACAATAGACACAACAACAATAGACCACAACACAGTGGAAAAACAACAACAGTGGACACAACAATGGACACAACAACAGTTGACACAACAATAGACACAACAATGGACACAACAACAATAGACACAACACCAGTTGACACAACAATCGACACAACAACAGTTGACACAACAATAGACACAACAACAATAGACACAACAACAGCTGACACAACACCTGTGCTACCCATTGTGCCCCCCCACACCCACCGCCCCCCCTCGCTCCAACACCCCCCCCCACCATATTTCACCTCCTGCCCCCCAATCGCCACTCAAGCTGCCTCCATGTTCTATCCGCAGCTACATGAGGCCCCGTCACAAAGCCTGACGGGAGGGAGACCCCGAGGTCGGGACGCTTTGCATGGAGCCGCGGCCATGGAGACACATCCTCGTCTGCCACCGACTTCTCCGTCGCGACCATCACCAGCAGCGCCTCCATCATCGCCATCGTCGTCACCGTCTTCATCATCTTCTCCATCATCGTCGTCATCAACGACAACAACAAGAACAACAACAACAACAAAAGCACCTCCATCATCATCATCAACATCATCATCAACATCATCGTCTCCATCAAAATCATCGTCTCCATCAAAATCATCGTCGTCATCATCACCATCGGTGCCGCCGTCGACATCATGGCAGTACACCTGCTCATCGTCAACAACAACAACAACATCGTCGTCATCACCCTTCCCGTCCACACCACCCCCGTCGGCCCTGCTGCTGCTGCTCGCCCTACTCGCCGTGTGGGCTTTGCTGTCGTCCGCCGCCGACGAGGTCCAACCCAGGACCACCACGAGCCCCAAACGGCGGCCCCATCACCACCCCCGGCTTTCGCCAACAGCCGTGGCCGTGCGCTGGCCACCACGTTTCCATCTCCTCCTCCACCTCCTCGTCGTCACCCACCTGGACCTCCTACTCCTCCTGCTCGCAACAACAACAACAAGAACAACAACCCAACCACTGGTCGACCTTCCCGCACATCGTCCTCCAGCCAGGAGGCGAACACCTGCCGCGGTTACTACGACGCGATGGACCAGTGGGACCCCCCATTCAGCTGCAACAACAGCGGCAGCTACAGATACTGCTGCGGCACGTGCAACGTGCGCTTCTGCTGCACGGATCCACAGCAGCGGCTCCATCAGGACGCGTGCGCCAACCACGTGACCCCCTCGCGGAGCCCCACGCCGATAGCGGAGGAGCCCACGGAGAGCAACGTGGACGTCTCCACGGGGGTCGTCGTCCCGGCCGTGTGCGGAGTCATCGCCGTGCTGCTGCTGAGCGGAGTGCTCGCCAAGATGGGGCTCGACAAGGCTGCGGACGCGGCCAGGAACATCAACTTGCCCATGTGAGTCAATGTGCTAGAGGTTGGTTGGTCGGATGATGTGTGTGTGTGTGTAAAAACACATTGTCCTGCGGAGGGAGCTGGTAGGAACGTTGGGTTGCTCGGTCAATGGCCAGGGTCAACGGCAGCGTGGTGTATTCCGCAAATGTGCCCGACTGTGAGGGCGGGCACAAGCCGGCGTGAGTGGGTTGAACGTTGAGTTTTAGAAGGGCACCACGGGGTGACCAGCCCTTCCCCAACCAGCCCCACCCCTCCCATCCCCCACCCAGCCCCACCCTCCCCACACAGCCCCTCCCCACCCTCCCCACCCAGCCCCTCCCCACCCTCCCCTCCCCACCCAGCCCCACCCTCCCTACCCAGCCTCTCCCCACCTTCCCCACCCAGCCCCTCCCCACCTTCCCCTCCCCACCCAGCCCCACCCTTCCACCCAGCCCCTCCCTGCATGACGGACACAATAATCCCCTGTGGGCTGGTGTAACTAGGAGGTTCCTACCAGTATAAATGAATACCTGCCACTACGGGTAAAGCAATGTAGAACTTGCAAGCTGCCAGGCTTGTCGGTTAAGTGAGTCTGCCACTGTGTCGGCCAGGAACATCAACTCGCCCGTGTGAATCAAGCAGAGAGGTCGTGGGGGGAGGGGGTGGGAGAGGAGGGTGCGGACTATACGGGAGGTGGTATATGTGTATGTGTGTGTAAATACATAAATAATGCGACTACAGGTAATGCAATGTAGAAATTACAAGCTGCCAAGCCTGTCCGTTAAGTGAGCCTTCCACAGTGTCGGGCCAGTAACATCAACTTATCTATAAGTAAGAGTGAGAGTGGTGTGTGTAAATATTGTGTGTGTGTATTGGGGGAGTGGTGGCGCAGTGGTTAGCGTCCTGCGCTAAGAATCTGGCGACCCCAAAATTACCGTGGAAAATGTTTTCACCGGTCTGGGCATCAGCGTGGGTATGTGAACATCGCCACTAGGGAGACAAAGGCGGTCAGGCGCCGTGCTGGCCACCCACCCCCCTCGTGTGACGTGTTGGCCTTCACAGGTGCCCGCTGGCAGGACTTGCCCCAATTGTCTGTTATAGGCTATATGGGGGAGGAAGGAGGTCTTTGTCTTTTAACGAATAAATAAACACTGTTACCACTAATACATTGACATAAAAAATAAAGGATTTAAAAACAAAGTTTTTCACTATAAATCCTTTATATGCGTGGCGGCTAGAGTCCTCTCGTCCTCTGGCTTGAGATGGCTGCCACCTATGGGTCAGATGATTGCATGGCACCATTAAGAAATTGGTAATTAAATATCATATTTTTGTCCTAAAAAGTGTAAAATTTTAGAATTTTATTTTCACTAACATTAATTGTCACGCACAACGAGTCTGTGTGGAAAATGTCAGCTCGATTGGATCACCGGAAGTGGGTTAGAAAACGACCGAAAGATTTGCACGGTCGTAAGCAAGCAAGCAAGCACGCAAGCACGCAAGCAAGTGAACTTAATATAAAGGATTTAATAAAACTGCTAAGGAAACCTTTGATTGTGTTAGCCAGGGCATCAACACGCTAGAGCAAGAGTTAGAAAAACTTATTACGTACTCAAAAGCCAACGCATTAAATGACCCTCACATTTTTTCCAGCCTGAGTGGCCAGGAACATCAACGTGTCCATACAAAAATGGATTGTGTTCAAAATGTATATTTGAATAATTACAGGCTGATACGCTTGGCTTTTAAGTGAGCTGTACGATTTGTTGTTCTTTGAGCAGCCAGCCACATTAATATACCAAAGTAAGAGTAGCGAAAATAATGATAGTTAAAATAAAAAAATACAAGCTGGCAAGCAAGTCTGATGGTCCGAGTGGCCAGGAGCAATCCTTCGTATTTGAGAACGGCCCACGAAAGCGGATATCTGGGAGCTACCTCTGAGGCCCCCTCAACTGACCCCTGTTGCACACAGTCATGGGCAACACTTTCCCCACCCACTCTGCATACGTTCACATTCGACATAAGACACCCAAACCCACGACATTTCAACTCTCGGACCTGGAATTTAAACAAGTTAAATTGAAACAGAACCACATTTTACGGTCCGAATGTTAATTTTGCCGCCTGCTATAGATTGCTGAGGGTTTGTGTGTTGCTTACCAGCTACTCGTAGTGTGGCTATTAATAAGCTAATTAAAAAACTGGGTCAGATTTTTATTTTATTATTAAACGCAATTCTCATCAGGCCCTGTGGTGTCAAAAAAATGCATTCTCCAACTCTTCATGCTATTAGAATTATTCTCTCTGCCTCTCTATACGCTGTGAAGAAGGAGCATTTTGCCGAAATGTCGTCTGTTGTTTATTATTTATTTTTATAAGGCCACAGTGCTATTGACGAATGTGTCAGATAGTAGGTGAAGCGTTCTTTTTCGGTGACGGGGTAGGGAGAGACCACCTGCTCAATCAATGGCAGCTGTCTGGATTCTATCTCAGAATCTCGGCTGCGGAAGCTCTCGGCTCTGACCCCTGACCTCTGCGCCATCCGGGCCGCGCCGTCACAGCCTCCACTTTTTGTTGATACCAAGTAGCAAGGAACACGTGCCGAAGATGGAAAATAGATACGTAAATAAGTAAAAAAATATATATATACTGGTAGGAACCTCCTGGTTACACCAGCCCACAGGGGATTATTGTGTCCGTCGTGCAGGGAGGGGCTGGGGGGGAGGGTGGAGAGGGGCTGGGTGGGGAGGGTGGGGCTGGTTGGGGGGGGAGGGTGGGGAGGGGCTGGGTGGGGAGGGGCTGGGTGGGGAGGGTGGGGCTGGTTGGGGGGGGAGGGTGGGGAGGGGCTGGGTGGGGAGGGTGGGGAGGGGCTGCGTGGGGAGGTGGGGAGGGGCTGGGTGGGGAGGGTGGGGAGGGGCTGGGTGGGGAGGGTGGGGCTGGTTGGGGGGAGGGTGGGGAGGGGCTGGGTGGGTAGGGTGTGGAGGGGCTGGGTGGGGAGGGTGGGGAGGGGCTGGGTGGAGAGGGTGGGGCTGGGTGGGGGGTGGGAGGAGTGGGGCTGGGTGGGGAGGGGCTGGTCACCCCGTGGTGCCCTTATAAAACTCAACGTTTAACCTACTCACGCCGGCTTGTGCCCGCCCTCACAGTCGGGCATATTTGCAGAATACACCATGCCGCCGTTGACCCTGGCCATTGACCGAGCAACCCAACGTTTCTACCAGCTCCCTCCGCAGGAATGTGTCTACCCAATACAATTGTTACTTTATTTAATATTTTATTTTAAAGTAATTTGGCCTGGGCTCAAGGACTATTTTGTAGACGATGATGTGGTGGTGGCCAGGAGATGTCAGTACAGCGTTGGGTCCAGCGCACAAGTTAAGTCAAAGGATTGAATCCATTTGTGCGGAGCTCTGAGTGGTACATCTGGTGGGAGCTCTGAGTGGTACATCTGGTGGGAGCTCTGAGTGGTACACGTGGTGGGAGCTCTGAGTGGTACATCTGGTGGGAGCTCTGAGTGGTACATCTGGTGGGAGCTCTGAGTGGTACATCTGGTGGGAGCTCTGAGTGGTACATCTGGTGGGAGCTCTGAGTGGTACGCGTGGTGGGAGCTCTGAGTGGTACGCGTGGTGGGAGCTCTGAGTGGTACGCGTGGTGGGAGCTCTGAGTGGTACATCTGGTGGAGCTCTGAGTGGTACGCGTGGTGGGAGCTCTGAGTGGTACGCGTGGGTGGGAGCTCTGAGTGGTACGCGTGGTGGGAGCTCTGAGTGGTACGCGTGGTGGGAGCTCTGAGTGGTACGCGTGGTGGGAGCTCTGAGTGGTACATCTGGTGGGAGCTCTGAGTGGTACGCGTGGTGGGAGCTCTGAGTGGTACGCGTGGTGGGAGCTCTGAGTGGTACGCGTGGTGGGAGCTGTCTCTCCCTGTCTTCTCCGCTTTCCTCATCCCGCACGGGAAGCCAAACTCTGCCCATTCGTGGCTTCAATCAAAACCCCCAACGTGGCAGGACAGTCTTGAGAGCCTGCGAAGATTACCCGGATAAATACTCTTAGTTCTTTCGGTAAAGTCACGTAGATAAAAAAATAAAATTGAAATTAATAAAAAATAAAACAATAAAATCACGACGTTTCGGAGGCAACACAAGTCTCCGTCATCAGGTGGGACCGTCACAGCCATATTTGCTGCATCAAAGCTTCAAATCTAGAATTACCCGGATAAACCCATGGCCTTACTTCCACCGCTCGCATTCTTATTACCTGAAGAGTCCTCGGATGGACACGATATTTTCTGGGCACAGCAAAAAGTAGTCTATGCAATGGGTGTCTATTTTTAGCTTTTTTTTTTTACATCTTAACACCCCCCGTGTCATTGGCAGAAAGGCTGACGCCCATTATTCTTCTTCTTTCATCATTTTGATACCGGAAAAAGGTCCCAGAGAAATAAGTCTTTCGTCTCCCACTCTTCCTTAACGACTCACCACGCCGCTCGGCACTAACGCTGAATGAAAGAGTCACGGCTACATTGGGACTGCAGCGGAGTGTGATCCGTCACTCACATCCACGGTGTGTTGTATCGAGTGGGGCTCTGTGTGTGTCTATGGGTCTCTGTGAGTCTCTGGGTCTTTGTGTGAGTCTCTGGGTCTCTGTGTGAGTCTATGGGCATCTGTATGAGTCTGTGGGTCTCTGTGTATGTGGGTCTGTGTGTGAGTCTGTGGGTTTCTGTGCGAGTGTGTGGGTCGCTGTGTGAGTATGGGGTCTTTGTGTGAGTCTCTGGGTCTCTGTGTGAGTCTATGGGCATCTGTATGAGTCTGTGGGTCTATGTGTGAGTATGTGGGTCTGTGTGTGAGTCTGTGGGTTTCTGTGCGAGTGTGTGGGTCGCTGTGTGAGTATGGGGTCTCTGTATGAGTCTGTGGGGCTCTGTGTGAGTATGTGGGTCTGTGGGTCTCTGTGCGAGTCTGTGGGTCGCTGTGTGAGTCTGTGGGTTTATGTGCGAGTCTATGACACTTTGTATGAGGCTGTGGGTCTCTGTGGGT